AATGCAAATTAATACTATCTAATGCCCTTAGCCAATTTAAAAAAAAAAAAAAAAAAAAAAAAAAAAAAAAAAAAAAAATTGTTTTTATTAATAAAATAAAAGGTTTAATATATGACACCTATTTTTGTTTAATTATAATAATTTTTAAGTGGTCCTTTATTTATTGGAAGAAACTATATATAAGCTAATTTTTAGAAACAAGTAGAGTCTTGGAAAATTAGCCAAGTATATATTAGTACTTGGCAATAAGCCATGTGTTAGAACAAGCTTTTTAGTGAGTTTAATTAGGTAAACAGAAAAGTAAATTTGTATGGTTCCGAAAATTGGAATCGAATAGAATTGAACAGAATCGTATGAAGTTCAGAACACTATTAAAAATGATGGTGGGGTATACCCCACCTATTAAATTTAATATAAACTTGAGAATTAAATACAGAATCGAAGAGAATCATTAGGATCCTTATAAATTTGTATAAAGTAAATTTGTATATTCTCATCCTATAAATATAAAAACAAAATGTAAGTCACCCATTTTAAAAAAAAAATTTTTAAGAATAACTGTTAATAAAATCAAACAAGGGATAATAAAAATTTTAGACAAAAATGTGTAACAATATATAGCATAATACTCTTTATTATTAGAAATTATCAAATTAATAATTTATTTTAAATATAATGAATGAAATGAATCAAGAATTATAAATTTTTAATAATTAATTTTGCATACTAATATAACAATATTTGTGAAAGAATAAAGTGTTATATTGGTTTTGACAAAATAATCTTTTGTTTTTAATTACTTTTTATTTTGGTTTAAAAAAAAAATTTATTTTCAATAGTGGTAAATAATAAAAAAAAATTTTTTTAAAGAAAATAACTTGAAAAAAGTTCTATTATCTTGTTTAAATTATTTTAAGAGTTTTTTGCATTAAAGAGTTTTTAATGAGAATTTACGTTTATTTTAAATATAAATAAATCACATGGCATACACATACAACAAAGTACGGCTACATCTCATGAACCTTACTTAAAAAATCTCCTAAAAAATAAGTTTTATCGCAAAAATTAATTGTCCGGAAGAGTTTATAATTTATAATGATTATACTGTGAGTTGTAACGGTGTAACGGTGAGTCAGTCGCTAATTCCAGCAGAGATTCGCGTAACCGTTACTGGGTAAATAAATGAAAGGGTGATTTTAGGCGTGTTTGTATTTGACCGAGTCTTTATTAATTTTCTCGCTAATCTTTACATTCTTTTATACTTCTTTTTCTTTACATTTGGCTATGGCGGCTTGGGCATAGGATAATAAGCTATAGTACAATGACGGGGCTTTAAAGCTATCTTACATAATTTTTTTCATCAATTTCTTTCGTCACTCGTTATTACCTAATTATTACAGCCGACTTATCATTGTCACGACAATTGGTCACGTGACTAACGTCACGTTCCATTTCTCCCTGTTACAATTGCATTTTTATTAAAATTTGATTGCATATACAGCATAATATTTATTCAATTGTAAATTATTAAAAATATGAAAACTTAACGAATTCAAATGTTCATAAATCAATAGATCCTTTATTTTATTGTACGAAGAATAATTGAAAATGTTTTGGTAATAAGCTTTTTCTAGCTAAGTAGTTATCAAACTATTACACAATAGGAACCTAATACATAAACCCAGCAACTCAGATACACAGTAATTTACGATAAACATATTCGAGTTGAAAAAAAATAAATGTAAAATCAAGGCCGTGTACAAATTCTAAAAAAAATTTGTTCTTTATAGCTAATATTATTTAAGTAAATATGCATTATGTTCTAATATAATTTGGATATTTATCAATTTCTCGTATCATAAAAATAAAAACAAAAAACTACAGCAAGACTAATTTACAGTAAAAAATTATATGCAGTATAAACAAACAGATCTCACATGCATCCTATACTCGCGACACTGCAAGAATTTCCAAACAAATCCACCCACCATTGATTATTTTTAGCAAGAAAGCCCAGAAATATAAAAAGAAAAAATATTATGGCCCCACAAAAAGCAAACCAAATATGGAAAATTTCAGAAATAGATGTATTGCAGCAGCATTTCCTTGACGCCTGGTCTTTTTTGTGGTGGCATATTAAGGATTTTTCTCCTGCGATGTGGCATATAAACGCCAAAATGCTATTGAGTGTCCAAATGCCGCAAAATATTGTGACAAACTTACTTCGACAACCATAGCCAATTGGTCGTGAAAAGTAAGCCAATAATAATACTATCCAAGGATAACATATTGATAATAAAGCAGTTATAGAAACGGTAATACGTTTAGAAGCTCTATCGTCATGGTTTTCAACAACCCTTATTTCATGTTCTTCAAATACATTATCAGGCTCTTTAATTACCATATTTCCTGAACGAATCCTTCTCCAAATTGCTGGGAGTGTCCAGGACAATAATGATGGTATATATGGCCAACCGTTGCAGCTAATAGTTCCCGTCGCCTTAGAAATCAACGCCAACAAACCAATCAGAGTAAAGTATCCTGACACATATGCCGAGAATATTTCCAAAATAGATACCTTTGCTGTGCATTGACCTATATGTTTTTTTATATCATCATTATTAATTTCGCAAAAATAAAATCCTAATGGCCTAAATTCTGGTTCGGTACCTCCAGCAGTAACAAATTTATTTGATGAAAGCCAGTACGCGACTCGAGACTCTTTTTTGCCACCTATGTTAATCGCGTAAAATAACCCCGTAAAGGGGCATCCAAGACATCGAAATAACCATGTTAATTTTCGTGTAAGCTTATTTGCCGGAGATTCTCCCATTATTGCCAGAGCTGGTAAACACCCTGATACATATTGAGGTATCGGGTCTAGCAACTGAAATATAAGATTCTTGAAGCTGTCCATTGTTCGCGTTTTTTGTAAAATAAAAAAAACACAAAATTTGCAATTACTGTGTTGCGTAAAAAATTGTCGGTACAGTAATGGGGAATTTAAAAAAGAAGAAATAACCCAATATTTATAAGGTGGTTGACTTCGGTCTGAACTTAATCGACTCCGGACACGAATTTAATATGGCATATAAACTTATAAGAGTACTAACTTAACTCCGTAATCGGACTTAATTTAGCGTATAAACACAATGGTCGAGAATCGTCATATAAATTAGACTACTATATGCAGTAATTTTGAATGCTTTGTTTCAGGTATTTTGAAGAGAACAGTGAATACAGTAACCATGAATTCGAAATTTCATTGATAAACAAATCAGCAAATAAACTTCGTGTAATACCTCTAGCGTACACAAAAAATCATGTTTCTTTTTAGAACCTACATCCGACCGTTAATGGAACAAAGCGGAGCAAGATAACCCGAGGAGTTGAAAAGATAATGGAAGCAAATAAAGTTGTCAAAATATATAGTTAAAGTTAATTTATTGGGTTTATTTGTTACTACCAAGGAATTAAGATAACGAAATAGAAGATATTGGATTTTGAAAATAGACTACTGTTCAGTAATTTGATTACATTATTACCAAATGGGTAATTATTTTTGAAGGCAACAAAAATGCTAGATATGATTTTTTCGGACTCAACTTTTAAACAATACATATATAGTATAAATTTTAGGATCACGCCAGAAAATTTCCGGTCCGCCTTCGAAAATAGTTACCCAAATTGAAAATTTTATTTACTGACCGAAGGGCGAGCGAGAATTTAGAAGAGTAAATCTTTAAGTGATCACAGAGAAATTACTTAACATTAAACCTTGCAAGACAAGATAGAAATCGGATTTACAGTATGATGGTTTTTATAAAAAGGAAAAATAGACATTCAAACGTTTATCATAAATAATTAATATGATAAAATATTTAAGTTTGATAAACCTCATTACTGTAATTATTTCTATTGTGTGTAAATCAATATGTCAGATATCATTAGGCGTCAGAGTTACGTACAATATAGGATTTACCGATTCCTTCGGAGTTATTTTATATTTCCCGAAAATGGTCAAGAAATACTACTGTTTATGGAATTTGTTAAAAGCCTATAGACTCTTCACGAGTAGAGATAATCAAAAATCAATTGTCTTTGAGAACACAGAAATTCTATAAATCGAGACCTTTAATAAAAGGTACAGTAAATGGAAACGCTTTTTTGGAATGCACAAAAGCCATTGAAAATCAAATCATACAAAGGAAAAAAAAAAACACTTGTCCTACTGTATTGTTACGGAGAAATGACGATCGACGGTATGGCTTAAAATTTGCGCAACGTCGATCACGCATTATAGCGGTTTCCTAAAAGGGTAATCGACCCACTTTGTTTTCTTTATTTCTTTTATTTTTCTTTGTCATCCTAAAGTATAAAAAATGATTGATAAAATGTGTAGAGAAAAAAAAAGAGGTGAAAAAAAGAGTTAAATAAAATCACCATACTTATCACACTGTTCTAACCAATAAAATCCTCCCAAATCATCTAAACTCGTCAAATCCACGCCTTCTTTCTGCCTATCACCCCCCTGTTGAAATCGTTACCTGTATTAAGTCAAGGATTGCGCCGTGACTGTTTTTAGACCCTGACCCACGACACTATATCTTTTTGAACATATACATGCATTATAATTTCAGATTATGAATGGAAATATCTAGAAATAAAGCTGTGTTCCAACCATCGCCCTCCAGTTTATTTTTACCTATAACAGTATCTATTGCGTTTTTACGCTTTCCATAGCTTCTCTTAAAGGCTGGTTTGGTCGGGTCTGTCGTCTCGGGGTTAGACCTTTTCTCTCTGCGAACAATCCGATACTTTCCCACACTTACAGTATCTCAGAATCCATCGATATTAATGTTGCTAGATTCTACTCGATAAATCTAATGTCCCTAATCCGTTTGTCAACTCAATAACATCATTTCCTGGCTTTATCTCTTAACTTCTAGGCACACACTCATTTCATCACATCCCTCTGAATTTGAATAGGTTACTATCTGGACATCCCTTATTACTGTAGCTACGTGGTATTACTATGCAGCGATTATTTTTTTATAAAAATTTCTCACTTTATTAAATAATCTTCTCCTTTCCGAGTCTTGCTTATTAATGGATAAGAAACGCTTTACTAAACACGTTGAAAAACTCTCTTAGTATGACTCAGACTTTCTTTTGGGACATCAACAAAGCCTTCTTTGGAAAATCTTTCGTTTTAATTGATTCTAACGTTTACTCATTCTTCTATCTTGCTTGTTTCTAACTCGTTTTAGCCCGAACAGTTAATTTTTTTTGTATAATGTTTGTTTTGCGTAATTAGAGCAAACTTCCTATTTATTGTTTACTGTACTTTTATCTCCGGTTTGTACAACATATCAATTACTAATAATATGAAAGTCTAAACAGTGGTAAAAGGATATAGTTAAAAGATTATATTGAAAATGTAACGGAGCCGGTCGCTAGTGATAATTACCATCTTTATTTAAAAAATTTTGCTTGCCTTTATAATTTTTTCTTTTGTGGTATGACTAAGGACGGCAATCTATTAATAATACAAAAAAAATTTTCGAAACTTAAATCACGTGACAGATATTGCGTCCTGCTTACAGTACAATAATAATCTTACAAGCGGAACATTACGAGATTAAACCCTAGACTCGTTTGTCTGACAAACTGTCTCGAAGAACATTGTAACATATGCTTTGTGGAAATGTGAATATAAAGAGAATCGGGAAGGATTATATTGTGTAAATGGAATAGGAAAAAGTGGATTAATCAATAACTGTGTCCTTTTCTAACAGACTCGTTTAACATTAAGTGCTATTCCTTCTTTACAGAAACTGAAAGGTTATGAAATCCATTCGATCATGTTCTATTTGTATCCCATTAACTACTGTACATTTTTTCTTCTATGTTTCAGATCACAATATTTAGGTTATAAACAGTCACATAACTACTTCTGCGCTATTCTTTTCTCCCCTACATTTTTCTTATGTCTATTTAATGTGCTTCATATATTAATGTGATAAGATTTAATAAATTGTTTATGTCGTCATTTTTAATTTGCACATTGACCAAGGCTGTAGGTGCTTTCTCACCGAACATTGGAGTCATTACTGTTGTTGGGCCGGAAAATGGCGAGTCAGTCGCTTCACCGGTCCAAAGTTCGCATTACTAAAGGTAAGTTGAGGCGTGTATGATTGATTTAGCCGG